AGGCCTGTACTGATGAATATTTTCTTTTTCATGTATTTATTGGCATTTGAACTCTTCCTTCTGAGAACTGTCTGTTCATTCTGGTTTCCTGTTTTTTGATTGGGACTTTTATTTTCAGAAGTTGAAATTTTTAAACTCATTGTATATTCTTGATATTAGTGCTCTGTTCATGGAATAGGTGCAAAAATCCTTTTCCACTGAATTTCAAATTCTTTAAGAAGAAATACTTCACATATGTAAGAGGATGATGAATTTTTATTTAAATTTATTTATTTATTTATTTATTTTTTTATTTTTATTTATTTAAATTTAAAAAATGATGTTGGCACATTTGCCTATACCAGTACTACCTAAAAGAACTATAATATCATAACTTAAAATTTTCAAAGTCACATTAAAATAGTCAAAAGAAATAGGCAAAAATTAATTTTAACAGTGTGTTTTAACCCATTATATACAACATGTCAATTCAGTATAGCATCAATGGATAAACATTACTAATGAGATACTTATCATTCTCTTGTACTTTACACTTACAAGAATTTCAGTCAGACTCTATGTTTCCAGTGCTCAGTGTGACCACTACACTGGACAACCAAGGTTCATACACTCCTGTTAAAGTTCTCAGTTCCCAAAGTATGTATTAACAAAGCAGTTACATTGGTGATTTACCAGCTATCCTAGCTGTGTTTTAAGAAATTAAGGAATGGCTAATCAGGAGCATGGTTGTGGTTAAAACTTCTACCAAGAGGGACAGCAACTTCATCACCTGCCTTGACATCCATTCATCATCAAGGACATACAGGAGCCGAGTAACTATAACCTTTTTTAGTCTGGCCTCAGGCTGCAATAAATAACAAGCAGTAGAGTGAGCACCATAAACATATTCTTAAATTTGTATAATCTCTGAATTTTTCCATCTCAGAAGAATGAGAAAGAAAATTTACCATGTAACTTTTAAGGGAGAAATCAAAAGCAGACGAATCTCCTGGGTATGGCCAGAACACAGAAATTAAAAAATAAATAAAACAAAAACCCATAAAAAGATAACAAAAGAAAAATAAACTAAGACTTTTGAAAATACATGCACTGTTAATTTTGTTTTAAGTATAATGGAAACTATTTCATATCAGTGCTACCTTCCAAATTGTACTGAAAATCATAAAGGCATACTTAGTGCAACTTTGAAGGAAGTACTCCGACTACATTTTGAAAGAAAGAATTTTTCTTTGCATAAAATCAAAAGCCAGGGTAACAGGTAAGAAATCAGAGCATATTACTTGTATCTGAGGACTGGGAAGAGAAGTCTTACCTTCCCTAACTCCAGTCTCACCTAGTCCAAGATCCTCTCATTAGACCCACCTGAGAGAATTAACAGGCACGCATCTGCCAGAGCCTGCAGAGGATCTGCAGTGGCTGTAACAGGCAATCCTGCACAAAGAGGTGACAAGCTACCACACACTCAGTGTGTGAGTATTTTGTCCCTTCAAGGGACAACTGCACTAAAAGCATTTTGACAAAACCTCATGTGGTATAGGAATGTTATAATCTGTAATTTTAAAAATAAATGAGACAATTACCAGAAAAAAAAATTTGAAAAGCAAGAAGTTCTTAAACACTGAAAGACTCTAGCAAAGAACTTTAAGGTCAAGGACTCTCTCTCTCTCTCTCTCTCTCTCTCTCTCTCTCTCTCTCTCTCTCCCTCCCTCCCTCCCTCCCTCTCATCTTGCTATTTAACCCAAACTGGCACTCTTCCTGTCTTAGCCCCCCAAGTGCTAGGATTACAGGTGTGCACCACCACATCCAGCTTCTGTTTAAGATTTTATGTGAAACAAAAAGACAAGAAGAACATAATCTGAGAATATTACCACTGAACACCCTCTTAAATAAACTACAAATGCCTTTTTCCTCTCTACATTTCATAGGGGACATGTTTTCCTTTTAAAAGGATGCTTTTTAATTGTTGCTCAAAGGATTTATAGTGTAACAGTTTATCAGTCAAAGGGTGATATTTTGAAGAACAGCTACATTATTAATAACTGTGATGAGACAATAGGTATAAACATGGGTCAGCCTTAATAAACCAGAACATATGGCCATTCTAGGCATTATCTTACTGTTTATATTGTCGTTTTGAATGAAATTTTGAGAATCAATAAATATATATATATATATATATTTTTTTTTTCTAGTCTGAGTAAAATAGGTTTTTTTAAGTACCAAATCTTTCATATTTTCAAAAAGTGTTTACTCATAGAAATTAGATACAGCTGACTTTGTTTTTACAAAGAGAACAAATGTGACTAACAAAATCAAATTAAGTAATTTACATATTACACAGACGAGGTCAGCCAAATACAGAATTTGAAGATCAATTTTTTTTCTAAAGATCAATTTTTGAAAAACAAATATAATCAAGGAAGTAATTCCCTTGTGGAGCACAGCAACTCTACCACCAAGCACTAGAAAAGGCAGAATACTGGTACGTAGAGAAGGGTGATGTGGCAGTGTACAGTGTTTTCTTAGGTCTTCAACCAGTCACAATCTAGATTCCTGGATGGTTTTGTTGTATTTAAATAAAAGAAAGAAAAAAAGTAAATAATAAAGAGTTCTCCCCCCTTCATTTTTTTTATGTATTTGGTACAAGGTCTCACTCCATAGCTCAGACTCGTGGTGATCCTCCTGTTTTCAGCCTCCCTAGCACAGGGATTACAGGCCTGTGCCACCACGTCCAGATTACTTTTTTTGTTTTGGAGTAATTTAACACTGATTTACTTCTAAGTATTGCTTATTTCAGGCTTGTTTTGTGACTTATTCTTCCATTAATGCTTAAAAATGTTCAATAAAGTGAATTTCTAGACCGAAAAACACTTCAAGTCAGAGCAACTGTTATCCACAACAATGAGACCACATAAAGTCTTCTGTCTGACTCAAGACATGTTGTAATTTTACAGTCTACTCCAAATATATAAAAGTAATGAGAAATATAATTTGCAAAAATAAAGGTGCCCATTAGTTTCTCTTAGGTGGATCCCAGAGGAGGCATCCTTGGGTATGACTCAAAAATAATCTTTCATGCAGCCTTAGAACGGTTCTGGGGAATGCACTCTGGAAAAAAGGACTAGCTAACTAACACCCAGGATGACAAAGAATGAAAATAAGGTTTTGTCCCATTCCTTAATGGCAGAGAGGTCCAGGGCAATCCTGAGTTCTGTGCTTTGCTTTCAATACAGTTACTAATTTAATTAGTACCGTTTTCTATCTGTCTGCCTGTTAGCAGGCAAAGAAAGAGGGGTCAGTGAGGACACTGAACAGAGGGAAGGGTAGCAGCATATGCCTTTAAATTTCCCAAAGGGAAAAGGAAGGCGTGTGATATTATTTTAAGATGAAATTATGTGGGAGAAGGAACTGGATCAGGTAAATTTTTAGAAATTTTGGTAACAGGCAAATCTTTGAAGTCAGTGAAAGAAACCTAAAGAAAGATCAATTTCCTTTGCTTCACAGTAGTTTGATCAAATAGTAAGGAGTAAGTTCTCCATGCCTGATGAAACTATACTGGGCTTCTAGCTGTTAGAGTTAAGACTATTCATACATTTAAAACCAAAAATGTCTAAACAGTACTTTAGATAAACAGCGTGGTCAATAATCTTCACATACTTATTTTACATTTGTGTATTTCCCACCTCTAAACCATGGTCATTTTCCCACACTTCACAAAAATAATTGCAAATTACATAATGAAGAATTGAAAGCTACTGTGACAAAATAACAAGCATATATAGTTCTACTGGTTGCAGCTAATAGATTTTACTTTAAAAATACTTACCAGGTTAACTGCTGGGGAAAGCTCTGTATAGACATATTAATCTTTCGTTTTTTAATGAAAACTTGAAGCATAGAATATATAATGACCTCATTATTAAATAATTATTATAACCAGAATTAAATACATTTAGTGTTGACATAGTCTATAAAGGAAGGGAATAATAATCAGGAGCATCAGAAGAGTAATATACATTTGTATTAGTACAAATGGCAGCAGAAAGAAAAAAATTATATATCTATATATCTATATCTATATTTATAAATATAGATATAGATATATTCCCAAAGCAAGGTTATTTTGGAGTAGAAAACTGAAGAGAGGAAAATATTAACTTATTTACTGGCTTTATTTTACTCTTTCTTAGATCATATTTTTAAGAAATTAAATCATATCCAAAAGCCATTTTCAAAGTTTAATAGAAATGGCCAAATCATAATTATATTAAAATACTAATAGGAAAATCATTACAGTGAAAAAAATCTAAGCTTTATTTATTTATTTATTTTTGCGGAACTAGGGATTGAACTCAGGCCCTTGCGCTTGCCAGGAAAGCATTTATTCTACTGAGCAATCTCCCTGGCCCCCCACCTCAGTTCTTTAAATAGCTAATTCACTGCTCATGGAGAATTGCTATAGATAAACCTTCACAAAACATACTCCAAGAGAGAACAATAGATTCAATAACTGAATATTCAATTTGTTCTAAGTATGCTACTTCAAAGTTGGTTTCAGAAAACTGAATTGTCTTGATAGAACTCAGAGCACAGAATTTTACTTTTTTTAGGTTTCTCTCTTAAAGTTGAGAAAGCAAGGACTAGCGGTGGCAACCCATGGGACATGTGCTGCAGCAAGCTGTTAGTGTCACTGGAAATTCTAACAAGTTCACCCTCACTGACCTTGTGCAAATTTCAGACTAATCAAGGACTGCTATCTCCTATACCCTATACTCTGTCAAACTCTCTTCCAACCCCCTTCCCTTTGGATTTAAGTATTAGGATAAAGTTTGGCCATTGGATTGTTTTTAGAGTTACTTTAACTCAAGATGGATATCTGGGATACCTTAATACCAGGTTTGCAAAAACTGTTTATGCATTTTGAATAACTGCTGTTTAAAACAAAAAAACCCCACCAAACAATAAAAACCACACATACTTAGTACTAAAACAGAACTTACCTTAGAGCCACGCTCATTAAAGATTATTTCTACATCTAGGATTTTGCCAAACTGCTGCAGAGACAAAAATAAAAACATTTATTTATGGAAAGCTTCTTACGTATCTATTTTACTTTTTTCTAAAAAGGGAATTGCTACTAGTATTTATTTAATTTCATGTTTCCATTTCCTTCTGATTTATTCCCTACCACAGAACTGAGGGTGTCTGTTTTCATTCCTTTCTGAATTCACTAATCCCTATGCCACCCACTTCTGTGTACAAAAGCCATTGCCCAAAAGCCTTCACAGTGTGGCCTTATGTATTTTTTCACCTGAACAAGAACTGGATATAAAAAAAAAAAAGAACTGCATAAACTGAGTTGAAGGCATGCACAGGAAATCTCTGGGTAACTGGGCTCAAACTCCATTATTTATTTCAAACTAGACTTTGGGAATATGAGTGGAAAAAAAACCCACTGAAAAATGAAAACCGAAATCATGCTTTTCCACCGGACTGAACTATTACTTTACTCAGAAAACATATACTAAGAACCCAAGTTTTCTAGAATACCACATCCAGGGTTGACTCCAGTTTTACTTAATAAGAAAGCCAGAAAATGTTTTATTGTAGATAGGGGAGCATTCAGTTTTATTTCTATATCTAGTGTATAAAACTAAGATTTGTGTGGTGGTTTAGAGCTTGTTTTGTTTTATATTTCATATAGCATTCTTATATAATCTTTCTGAAGGAAAGTTTGTCTTTTATGGTTAAGGAAACTGAGGCCGATAGAAGCTATTTGTCACATTTACAGAGCTAATAAAATGGAGCCTGGAATCTCTGCTGTTTACCAGCCAAATAGATGACAACAGGAATAAGGTGTCCCTTGCTGGGGAAAATTATTTCTTTTTCCTTTTCTGCCTTATGGGAAAAGGCAGAAAAGAATATATTTCAAGAAATCACTAACTGGCTTAGGACACTGTTTTTCTGATTCAAGAGAAAACACATCTCTGACAAATGAGCCTGCATTCCATTCTCACAGACGCCAAAGACTGAGTCTTCATTGTCTCTGATCATTCAGAAGAAAACCTACAGCAAGTCCTATAGCTGTCCTTTCTATTTTTGGTTGTTCTCTTTTCTGTAAAGATGGAGAGCAGCTGGTTACCATTTTCTGTATAAAAGTTCTCCAAGTATTGCCGGTACATCATTCAATCTTAACTTGTGGGGAGGGAGAAGGGGGGCAGAGGAAAGGGAAGTAAAAATAATTAAGATGTGTTATGTACATATATCAACCCTCCATGGCAAATGTAAGTGTTCTCAACTGCAAATCTGCACTTAAAATTTTTTTTTTGGGGGGGTATACCTCAAGTCAGGCACTTTTCAGCAGGAAAAATGTGGCCAGGTAGTCAGCTCTAAGTGACAGTGCTTTGGTCCAGTGTCTTGATGCCATGAAATGGCCACAACAAACACTTAAAGCAGGGAATTAGGTTTTTAAGCAAGGCACTATCCTAATGAAACTTCTACGAAACCACTGATCGTGTTTAAAACAGGCAACAACATTGAGGATCAGAAAAAATTAAGTCTCTTAATAGCCATTCACTTACAACAACATAAAATTTTCCATTACTACACTGTTTGCATGATGATTTCAGGAGATAAAGAACTCAAGGAACACATCAGAGACAGGAAACTAACCCTCTACACTTGGCTTACACATTGTTTTTTAACATTCCTGAGTATGAGCAAAGAAGTGAAAATAAGACAGAGGTACTATTTGTTTTTAGTGACATTATTCCATTTAATTTGTAACTGAAAGATAGATTGCTATGAGATTCAAGTTGGAAGAGATTATGTGAGTTTCCCTGAGTCATGACCAAACAGAATTCAGTTCCAAGTTATTTGATGTCAAAATCCACACCCACCAGCCACTTCTAAACTCACATTCTCTACACTGCATGTTTTCTGAGATTGTAAAGATGGAATACAGAGCAGCAATAATGTATTCCTGAGGCGTACAATAGCCTTGTGGTAGACAATATATGGTAAGAGAAAGACAATAATGTGCTAGGCTCATCTAAAGGCAAAAAAAATGTTATGGGGTGAATACACAGTGGCCCCCTAAACTCATCCACACATTAGAACCACCTGGGAAGCTTATAAAATTGCCTAGGCCAATTAAATCACAACCTCTGGTATGGGACAAAGGCATTAGTACTTTTTAAGCTTCTCAAGGGATTTTCAAAGTGCAGACAAGTTTAGGAGTCACTACCTTAAAACAATGTCTTTTTCATTTAAGTAACTCCAAGCATACTATTGGTATATATACTAAGGCTCGTGTGTGAGTAGGGTGGCCATCTCATCCTGATCTTAACACTGAGTCACAGTCTCAGCAAAGCCACTTGCACAGTTAGCTATGTGACCTGCCAGGTGAATGTCTATAGAGTAGGTGAATGACAACACAGCTATTGGGTTAAATCCTGTTTTAATGGTACAAGCCATAGGACTAAGGAAACTTACCCCAAACATTTGCCGGAGGTCAGGGTCCCGGAAACGGAAAGGAATATTAGAGACATGCAGTCGTTTAGGGGTAGATTTACTCTCAGAATTCTCACTACTTTGTGTCTGTGATTGCTGGCCGTCTGTCTGTGCTCCACCTTCTGTCTGCTGAATAAAGAAGGTAACAACACTAAGTGAAAAATAAGCACAATTCATATGAATTACCTAAAGCCCCACAATCATTTCCAGTTTTATCTGTAGGTAAATATAAGAATTCCTCCCTTCAAAGAAAAGAAATACTTAAAGATATTATCTCTGTTCAAAATGCTATATTCTACAAATAAAAACTTGAGGTCTTCTAAATAAAAGCAAAATGCGGGGGGAACAGACAAGAAACACTAAGTGATTTGCCCAAGATGCCATAAAAATTCATTAGGATGAACAATGTAAAAACTGACTTTATACTTTCTATTTTGGAGACCTTTCTGCCTTGAAAAGCGAATCCACTGTACTTAGTTGTGTAGGTCACTGCATCTTTTGGTCTATCATCTCAGGCTCTCAAGGAAATGAAATGAGGCAAAATTTTTACACTCAATACCCTCTATTAGAGTCTTAGAGTTTAGACAATTTAGTTGTCACAGTATTGTAATACTATTTATGAAGAGAGGCAACAGTGCTAATACTCAATTTGCCTGAAAACTGAGGCAATTTCTCATCCTGAAATGAATCTGTACTTTCCTTCCTTTCTCATTTATACAATTCCAGCTAAGTTCAGTTCAAAGGACTCTCCCTTCTTGTGGCCCTGGGAAAAGTTGCATCTAGCGGGTTTAATTACCTGTTGGAAAAAGACTTTATGGAAGCCTGACTAATCTATTACACATCATACAAAGGCTAGCCTTTTACACATTTATAATGGAAGACTGAGTTTGGTATACGCTTTTAATCATGAATCTTCTTTGCAACATCCCAGGCCATGTGTCCCCCTGCCCTTTTCACTAAACTGTCAAAAAAGTTGTTATGTTGAGAAACATTTTTGACATATATCCAACAGGTGTGACACATTGTAGGCAAGCAAAAAGACATTTATTTTGAAGTATTCATTTGGTAATTTAAGAACTTTATGGTTTTGCTATTCCCTAGGGGGTACATGCTAAACTGGACAGCTGCTGAGCTGATTAAACCAACATACTTTTAAAACAGGAGAACTTGCTGTTCTTATTATCTTAATTGAGAGAGAATGGAGTCTTTAGCAGATTCTTCTGGGTGACACAGGATGAATCTCCTCCCTTTGGCCCAATATTCAGGCTAAAAGAGACTGAATCAGAGATACTTCTGGCTCAAAGATGTTAGCAACAATCTTGAAATGAAGCTTGAAACTTTAAAATATAAAGGATAATCAAGAATAAACTCCAAGTGAATAATAGCTTTTCAAGTGTCAGTCTAAGAGATGGCAGCTTTTTATCTCATTCCATTCAGGCCTTGCAGATGGCTCAAATGTGCAATGATTTATGTGATTTAAAAATAGCAGAAAAGGGAAGAGCTATGAAGCAATGTTCTGCCAAAGTGTGAAGTTTTCAATCATCAACTGGAGCACAATGCAGACTAAACAAAACAAATTCCATCCAAAGCTGAAATTCACTAAGTCACTACAACAGCATCACGGGCACCATCATGCAGTCAAAGCAGTAAGCATCAATTGCAACTAATGCTCATTCAAGCATCATCAAACTTGCCTCACAGCTGGATCACACAAAACTCTTTCTTCAATTAAACTTTAAAAGCACCAGATATGATCTGTGGGATGACAATGCATCACTTTAAGAAAAGTTTGAAAGATTGATTCCACAAAGCTTCAAATTACAGTTTTAAATGTAACTTGTGTATGTGGCTCATGTAACCTGGCATACTGTAAATGAAGTGACAGGATCAGTACAAACTAATCATTAAAGTATACTGCCTACTACTTAGTTGTTGCTATTGAGAATTCTCTGCTGTCACAAAGACATAATTTAATTGGCTTGGAAGTCAAACTGGTTAGTTTTCTGGTTTATAGTGAACAGTGTTGTATTTTTTAAAAAATAAAATCATTGATTCTAGGGAGATCTTGCAAGTAGAAAAACTGTATTATCATTTTCAAAATTCTCAAGCCTTTTGACATAATATACTTTAAAATACAAATTTAACAGATAGAAACACACACTCCGCACAAAGCAGAGTGAGTTTTTCACAAAGAAATATACCCACATAACCATCAAACTAGAACCAAGAAATAGGACATTAGGAACATACCAGAGGCAACTCCAGTTCTTGGTCATCACTATACTAACTTGACTCCAAAGGTTGGTTTTGCTGTCTAACTTTAACAGATGGAATCATACAGTACACACTCTTCTAGGTCAGGCTTCTTTCACCCTTTATATTTGAAACATATACATACATATTCATATAATTTATCTATTAGTACTTCTTGTATAAACATTCAGAATTTATGTGATCTGTTTCCTGGTTTTCACTCATAATAATAATCAGCAATGTGCCCTGTCACAAAACACATTTTTTTTTTCCTAGAGCAAGTAAATTCTTTACTCTGCATACTGTGGCTGGCATTATCATATGCTGTATGTAATTTCAGTTAATCTGTTCTTATGCCCTACTGCCAGCTTTGCAATTTCCGGTGGAACATTCTTATTCACACATCTTTTGGTACACATGACTTTGTATGGGAGATAAAATATACATATATACATAATATATGTATGTATGTATATAAATATATATGAGTGGATTTTCTGATTTACGTTAGTGCTCAGCTTTAACAACAATGCCCATTTTCCAATGTGGCTGTACTTTGTTCATCACCTTTATATAACAGTCTTAGTAACTTTTAGCACTGTCATTTTTCATCTTAACCATTTTGGTGGAAGGCAATGACATGATATTGTAGTTTTAATTTCCATTTTTCCAGAGAATTAAAATTCATGTTTATCGAACATTTTATGAAATACATGCGCTAATCTTTTACCCATTTTCTGTTACGTAACTGTGGTTTTTTTGCTTAGGATCTGTATGACTTCTTTATAAACTTTGTATATGAAAATTCTGATATATGTACTATAAACAATTACCTGTCTGTGCTCCATAACCTGCCTTTACATTTTTAACAGAAGTATTTTTACTTGCTGGTGTCACTACCTGAAACTTCTCTACCATTAAAGTGGCTAATCTAAGAACCTGATTCCTTAAACAAACTGTATTATCTTCTCACTTTGCTAGCTCAAATATCCCTATCGACAGACTCGCTGGAGTTTACTGGAACCTATAAATACTTACCTATCTCTGAATCTCACCTGTTTTTCTTTTCTATCCAGTTTATGTTCAAGAACCTATCATTTCAATCCCTTTGTTGAATATGCCTTGTGAAACTACAGCTTTGAATGAATTACAACCATCCATTCCATCTAAGTCTGAACTTAGGCACGTAACCACTGTTGGAGGAAGGCCACGCACCTGGGCTGCTCAATGGCATAGCAGGCCCACCAAACTGAAATTGGCACGCAGTGCTCCCAGTAACCTTACCCAATGACTTCAGTTAGCTAGTGTCTGTGCCTTCTACAAATATTACTTCAGACTAATTTTGTTGGAAAACAGGAACTTTCTACAGAATAGCAACTATTTTTTGATCACTCATTCTATATAAGATTTCATCTAAGACTTTTAATAAAAATTACTACTTAAATAATGTTCACTTGGTGCCAGACATTTGCCTAAGTATTTTACATATTTTAATTACTGTAATTCTTCTAAAAATCCCAATGGGTATTTTATTGGCAATAATTTGTAGGTTTTTTTTTTTTTTAATACAAAACTAAACAATAACCCTGCTTAACGGAAACAGAACTCAAACCCTGGCAATCTGACTCCAGAGTGTAGGCTCTTAGCCACTATACTGTACTTTTGGGCAATATTTTCTTTTCTTTCTTTCTTTCTTTTTTTTTTTTTGGCGGAACTGGGGATTGAACTCAGGCCCTTGAACTTTCCACGGAAGCACTTATTCTACTGAGCCATCTCCCTGGGACCCAATATTTTCCTAATTTTCACATCAACTTCGCAGTCAAGTGCTCTACCACTGAGCTATTCTCATGCCAACTTGGAAACAGGTATTATTATTACTTCCAACTGACAAAGGAAAAAACTAAGGCAGAGAAACACTAGCAGATGCCAAAAGTCAAACAGTAAGTGTCCAAACAGAATTGAAAGGCAGGCTCCCCGGCCTTGTCACATGCTGACCACCTCCAGGCTCTGCGCACACCCTTCCGCTCCTTTCTCTTCTCATCACAAGAGAGAAGACATCCACAGCCCACTCTGATTTCCTCAGGACCAGCATCTGAAGAAAAGAGGATTCTCCTAGTATGGAGATAAGCACAGGGCAAGAGATTGGGAAGGCTAAGTAAAAGCTTCTCAGCCTTATTTTGTGAAACATGGACTGTAAAACTGTTCTAAGGAAAGTCTCAGTCAGCAACAGCAGTTAGTTTGCTTTATTTTCTGCAGAACAACCTTACTGATATATAAACAGTCTCTCAGGGTCGTGTTTTTTCTTCCTCCCCCAGCTGTGCTGATAAAACTCATCACTGGAGGGGATGAATCAGAAGAGGCCACATCTGCTTATAGCAGCCTACAAGGAGTGTTGGCAACCCAACCGCTCTGATGCAGTCACATGGCCACAGCCTATGCATGCACTAGGCAAGAAGCTCAGCTTCCTACGTGAGGCACAGTGGTCTGTCAACACTGCAGAGCACAGAGGCTTCTCACAAGAGCACAGCAGACATTCTGAGGTTCTAGAGTAATGTATTAATGAGAATACTTAGGATATATTGAATATAAACCTAGTATCACTACCAATACATTTTTAAACACAGAATTAATTAATTTTATTTATTTATTTAAGACAGGGTCTTGCTATGCTGTTCAGCCCAGCCTTGAGCTCACTTTATAGCCCAGGGTAATCTCAAACTGGCAAAGGGGCTATATCTGCCAATGAAGAAACTGCTATCAAGTTTGTGAGTGGAAGAAATTGATTAAGAATAAAAGGATAACATCCCAAACATGTCTTCAACTGAGATGAAACTGAACGCTTTTGGAAGATATCCTTGAATGGTGTGTTAGCTGAT